GCCCGGCAGACCTTTGACGTGGTGAACGAGTTTATCGAGGCGCTGAAAGGGGGGGGTTTCCCAGAGCTGCGCAGTATGCTGTGCATAGGGGGGATTGATATGCGGGAGCAAATGGATGTGGTTCGGAAGGGGGTCCATATAGCGGTGGCGACTCCTGGGCGGTTGAAAGACCTGCTGGCAAAGAAGAGGATCAACCTCGACATCTGCAAGTATCTGTGTTTGGATGAGGCGGATCGGTTGGTCGATCTAGGGTTTGAGGACGATATCCGGGAAGTGTTTGACTACTTCAAGTCACAGCGCCAGACGCTGTTGTTCAGTGCGACCATGCCTAAGAAGATCCAGAACTTTGCAAAGAGTGCTCTGGTCCAGCCGGTTGTAGTGAACGTCGGGCGAGCGGGCGCGGCGAATCTGGATGTGATCCAAGAAGTTGAGTACGTCAAACAGGAGGCGAAGATAGTGTATCTGCTCGAGTGTCTGCAAAAGACCCCCCCACCGGTGCTCATTTTTTGCGAGAACAAGGCTGACGTGGACGACATCCACGAGTATCTTTTGCTCAAGGGGGTGGAAGCGGTCGCCGTCCATGGAGGTAAAGATCAGGAGGAGCGGGACCAGTCGATCCAGGCGTTCAAAAGCGGGAAGAAAGACGTTTTAGTGGCGACGGACGTCGCGAGTAAGGGGCTCGATTTTCCGGACATCAAGCACGTGATCAACTTCGACATGCCTGGGGAGATTGAAAACTACGTGCATAGGATTGGGCGTACAGGGCGGTCGGGAAAGACGGGGATCGCCACTACCTTCATCAACAAAAGCCAGGACGAGACGATTCTGCTGGATCTGAAGCACTTGTTGAAAGAAGCGCGGCAACGGATCCCCCCCTTCATCGCTAGCATAGAAGACCCCATGGACGAGATGGAAGCCTTGCAGGAGGCCAGCGGGGTTAAGGGGTGCGGTTACTGCGGGGGTTTGGGTCACCGAATCGCAAACTGTCCCAAATTGGCACAGCAGCGGAAGCAGGCAACGCCCGATGCGGGGAGG